GTCTTTACGACAAACGTTCTGGAAAATATTAGCGTTTCGTGTTCGTTTTGACTTCGTGTGGACAGGGCCTCAGAGTAGAGCAGCTGCTCCTTCACATCGAGAGGACCCAGTTGAGGTGGTTTAGGCATCTGATTAGGATGCCTCCTGGACGTCTCCGTGGTAAGGTGTTCCGGGCACGTCCCACCGGAAGGAGGCCCAGGGGGAGACCCAGGACATGCTGGAGGGACTATTTTTCTTGGCTGGCCTAGGAGCGCCCTGGGATTCCCCGGAGAAGCTGGCCCAAGTGTCTGGGGAGAGGGACGTCTGGGCCTCCCTACTGAAGCTGCTACCCCCGCGACCCGACCCCGGATAAGCAGAGGAAGATGGATGGATGGATGGATATTCACGCCAAAAAAAACTGTTTTATTTGCGTTAGCAAGAACAGAAATTCGCCGATTACAAACCGGGGGCAAGTGTGGGGCCACACCCACAGAAAATAACCTAGGGCCAGAGCTTTTAGTACAATAGGAGCCCTCTATGAAGATTTCCTGGAACTGCCACTATTGTGAAATTTTTGTCCAAAATCTTGTTTCAGTTGTAGTTTATGATTGATTAAGACTTGCATTGGGAAGACAGGGTGCAGTCAGAGCAGCTGGCATGGAGGTAAGGACATCGGTCTTAAGGTATAAATCGATGTTAAAAAAAAAAAGCCAAATTTTTTTAGCCGAACACATCATACATAACAGGGCTGTTATTGTTTTAGGTTCCCGTTTCCTGCATTCATAAAATTCTATCTGCTGTTTAATCCTATTGCATTATGTTTTTAAATTCTATAAATTATGGAAGCCCATTTCATTGTAAGTAAAAAATGTCACATGGTATGTCATAAACATGAGATGTAAAGTCAGAATTCAGCATTCAAAGTTATAATTATGTGATTTACAGTCATAATTATTCAAATTTAATTTATTTATCCCCCCAAAAAAGGACAATTCAGTTTTCAGCAATTCAGTTTTCAGCAACCTCATTTAACCCCATTTCACTAGCACTGTAGGTGCAATAGAGATTTTAAAAACATATGAGATAATAATAATAATTTCAACTTTAAAGTCACAATTATGAGTATCTCATAATGACTTCATGTCTCTAAATAAGCCTTTCTATCTCAAAAATAAGACATAGTATGTCAATTTTTATGACTTTAAGTGGCAGAAATGGGATTCCATGGTTACTTCCAGAATCCTGGTTTTGATCGTTTCTCATTAAAACAAAGCTTTTTATTTTCTACTAGCTTAAAAATTATCTTCATATTGAGCAAAAAACTAAAACATGACTGTAAAGTGGAATACGTCATTCTTAAGTTATATTTACAAAGAAAAATCTGAAAAGTGAGTCCTGCAGTTTTATGTAGTAGCAACTGTCATTCTGATTTTACTAAATAATATATAAATTAATTCAGGAGCCCCTCCAGTGGTACATAGGATCCAGCTGAGTGTTATTTATTTCATCAAAAACATCTTTAACTATCTTGATTCATTTTATTTAATGTAACTTTGGGATTAATAAAGTATTTTAAAAATGAATAGTCAGTAAAGAACCCAGAGGGTTGATATAGAATATTGCAAAACAAAACATAAGGAAGAGAGTGAAGAAGCTCAGGGCTTAAGGTTGGGAACAGTTAAACCATGATAGGTTTATTTAAATAATATCTCATTTTTAACCATCTCAGAGTTTTATATCAACCCATTATATAAAATAGTAAGAATATGGCATAACTGTAAACGCACCATGAAAGCTAGCAAGATGGGCCAGCAGGGAATCACTCAGAGAAGAATATAAGAGATTATT